CCTTCAACAGCTTCCACTTACATACGATTATTCCCTCTTCTGCCTCTCACTTACTGCTACAGTAACTGAAAGAGCGGAGGTGCCTGGCATTGCAGTCATTAGATGATATCTCTGCAGACAGAGTAGAAATAACACGACAGAGTACCCTGGGTCAGAAAATGGACCATTAACAGGAAGAGAGAGGAAGGATGCGAAGGAAATCCAATTCCACTGCGCAATGCAAGCCTGGGCTCTACCCCCACATGAGGGAGGTACTCTAGTAGTGGTTTGTACCACCAAAGAGAAAGGTCTCAAGTAGGAGCCCCAAGACCAGTGAAGGGAACTAATTGCAACCACCGACTCACAGACCACATTTGGAATGCACCGCCCTCTTGAGAACAGCCTTTTTTCACTTAGTGATCAGAAATACCCTAATGTAGACATTCAGGCAACATAAGCAAATTAGTATCTTTCTCCAGTTACACAAGCAAAAGGCTCCTCTGCTGACCAAGTGGTTATGACTGGATAAATAATGGTTCTAAACAGATAAAATAATTTCTACTGGACATCATTTAGCATAATGTATGAAATCTGTATTATCTCATTTTCAAAAGGTACAAAAGCCCTGTTCAATGCCAACAGAAACTATGGCTGATGAACACAGCTGAAATCCAAGTCACTTACAGATAAGCATACTAAATTCTACTTACCAACATTAAAGCACTATTACTGCAAAACAACACACAAAAAACCCTATACAGTTTTAGCCAATTTACTAACCACCAGCAAAAGGCATATACGTGACACAGTTTTTTTCAGTACAGGAACCTAATGCTCATCCTCACAGCAAGACAGAGTTTTTTCTTACCAATTAAATGACCTAGAAAAGCAGCATGCCAGCTACTTACCGGTAGTGCCATATAACAATTTAAACAAGGAGTGGTGAATACCATATCCGATCAAAACTGCTGCGGGACCTTAAAATAGCAAAATGTATTTACACAAACTGGTATTTAGCTGGCAAAGACAAGTACATCAATGCTTTTGGGAAATACACTGAACTCTAAGGAGGGCAAGTAATGATTTTGCTTTGAAGGATCTTCTAAAAAACGTTACCAGAACACTACAAATGACTCCACGTGAGTCACCTAATAGACTGATTCAACAGTGACTAAAAAGAAAAGATACTGTCTGCTTGCAGAGCTGCTTCTTAGGGTATCTCAAAGTCTCAGTACTGAAAATGGGGAAATTTCTTTCCTCTGAGTACCAGCTCAGTTCTCTTCAGTTCAAGGCCTGACCGAACAAGCAGGCAAGAGAGCTCTGTAGCCCGAAGCAGGACTACGTACAGAGCACTGATCTTCCATGCCCAGGGGAGTGCAGTGGCCCACTATTCCCACAGACAAGCAGTAACAGAAACAGGATTGAGAACAATTAGAAAATGGCACTGTTCTGTCTATTTTGTAACATTACTTCAAGATGTAAAGGGTATCTTTTAATCCTCTGTGTGTGTTGAATGCTCCCTCGTGTAGCTGTTAGGATCATTCTAACAGATGATGATTCTTTCCCATCTTGGATGGCTAAGCTCAGACACCAGTCACTTCATTTTTGAGTGTCTACACTCCCGGGGATGTTTACATCACCTAAACACACAGGCATCTACCTTCAGTGCCACATTAGACTGGGGATCTTGACACTGGAGAGACTCATCAAAAAGGCCAATTCAAACATGTAAATGAGAATTTTTTCTTTTTTCAGCTGACTATACAGAGATTCTTAGCATTTCACCTGGCACCTAGATAACACGTCCACTGTTATCCTATACTTTAAAGCACTCTCTTGAGTAAAGACAAATAAAGACAGTAAAGATCTGCACATACACTGAAAAGACGCTTGTGCTGGCACAGTACCTCACCCCTTGTAGGCTGTGTTTTAGCTTACTCCTAAGATGCAGATACACCACATCACACTCGTTCAGCAGCATGTGTCAGACCCGCTATATGAGCATGGTGTCTCTGTCATGCTTGCAGAGTAGGACTGATGCTTTCTAGAAATATTGGACTCACTGCACACATGCACTGTATAGTTAAGGCTGCAAAGATGCTGCTCAATGGTTCTGGAGTTTTGATCTATGGCAACCTGGTCAGAATAATTTCCCCTGAGCAAATACAGGAAAGCCCCAAATTCTACTCAAAATTTGTGGTGAGGACAAGGGAAACAAAACAAACAAACAAAAAGGCACAAACAAAAACCCCAAACAGGACTTTTCCAGAGGAACCCCAGAGAAATGCCAACCCCCTCACAAACAATCTCCGGGCCAGAGTCAGAGAGAGGATCCCATTCTCCAGGCTCAACCAGAAACTTGTTTTTTTCACTATGTAATTTCTAACACCTACAACAAATTGAGCAGAAATTTTACAGCCTGCTTCAACCATGCAGCCCTGATTCAATTTCATTCTTTGTGCTGAATGAAACAAGTGCCTTTGGGGGAAAAAAGCTGCTGGTGAGTCCTCAAGGACTGCATCGTTACACGTACTAGGGGAATGGAGAGAAGCAAAAGGAGGTTTCTTAGGCAACCTTTATTCTGCAACTTCTTAATGTTTGAGCGTTTGAATTCTAGTATTCTTTTAACATAAGAAATAATACTGCTTTGTGGCTTTTTAAATACATAGTTTCTGTCACTTAAAATTTAAACTTCTAAAGCAATTGCAATGACAGCACTTGTTCTCATATACCCTCTCTAATGCAAAAATATTTTTACTGATACTTCTTTTTATAAAGAGCAGGAAATAAAGAAAAACTAGTTGAATGTGGCTATATCTTATATTAGAGACCAATTTACTAACTGCTTTAAAATATTTGCTGCATAGGAAATATTATGTATGCTGCATGTAAATATTATTCTAATAGCATTAATTTGATAGTAGGTGAAATCACATGACATTACCAGATGGCTAATCTAGGTTTGTATCCTAGCAGTGTTCTGAGACGGCTGACTGTGAAGCACTGAATGGTAAAGCTGTAAGTTTTGAGTAAACATACCTTCCAGTTAAAAAGATTGTATCAAACTCTCTGCTCCCTCCTCTTTCTGCCCCCCCCCCCAACCCCAGCCAGGGGCACTACTTTAACGGGTGCATGTCTTTTGCTGTTGCAAAACCATGGAGAAAATTTAAAAGAGTTTCACCTGCAGCTTTCAGCTACGTACAACTAGAGGTATTTCCCAATACATTCTCGTTTCCTCCTCTTTGAAAAACAAAGAAAACAAGAAAAGGAGGCCATCTGTTGTAGGTAAAAACATAGCTTAAATTAATACAAAGGCACAAGACAAAACCACGAATTATAAGGTGCTGTGCTTCTGCACATTCACTATTGAGACTGGGAAAGTCAGGGACTTGGAGCACCAGAAAGGAGGCTGCAAGGAAGGTTTCCTGGTGAGAAGTAACATTCTTAGAAAGAATAAGGGGCTGGAGAAACAGAAGGTGAAGATCATGGAAGGGGGGGATGATCCTGGAGCTCAGCGAGCTGCACAGAAACAAACGCCAAAGGCTGCCCAGGGACACTGGCCAGTGGGACCCGAGGCTGGTGACTATGAGCAGCTGCACAGCACAAAGGCAACTTTCTGCCCAACCCTCCTGACAGCAACGATCTCCCTGCTAGGAAGGGAACCTGAGGCTACGTGAACCTAACGCTGCTGACAGGGAGAAAAGCAGGTAAGTGCATGAGATTATGAGATAGGATAAAAGCTCAGATCTTGGTGGTTCTTAAATAAACCCCACTATCCAGATCTACGATGGGCTGTCATTCATTCTGTCTTCCCTGTGACCCAACCCCCCTTATCAATATAAATAACTCTATCACATTAAAACTGTATACACTGGCTTTATCTACTTTGAAACCCAGTTCACTATCCCATGCCTGATAACTAAGGGAGTAAGACCTGTATTCTCACCCCTGTTTTCCTGCGGGCTAGGGCTTTCTTAGAAAGAAATCTTTCTGAAGGTGCTCAGAGCCAGAGGAAGTTACAGGATGCTCCACTGTCTCTCCCCACACTGATAATCAAGGGACCAGGACCGGAGACGCTGGGAAGCAGGATGCATCCGAGAGCATGCTTGTCCTCTAGTGTGCATACAACTAGAATTTATCAATTTTATCTGTATAAATTATTTTAATAACCAGGATATTTTCAATTCAACAAGCAGTATTCAGGAATACACAGAAAAATATTTGGCATTAGAAAATTATCTGTGCAAATACTTATTCGAACTATCTTAATTTACTCTTCATCAATGCTGAAATCTTCTTTATGCTGCTGAAACGCTGAATTGTCCAATTCTTACTTAAACAACATATGCATTGAAAGCTTCTTGAAAAACTCAAAAAAACGAGACCAAAAAAACTCCAACTCCTCAAAACAGAAAAAAAACCCACTCCTAGACTCCATACTTTCCCCACAGTTATAACCAAAAGACCTGAGGATAAGAAAGGATAAATGTAAGCAGCTCTGGTAGTCTGAGCCGCAGTCAAATATCCTTTTCACTAAACAGCATACAAAGCATAATGAATACTTTTGGCCCAAATCAACAAAATATTTAAGAATGTACTTGAATCATTTTCTTGCTTATAGCTATTTTCTTAAATCTAGCTTAATACTATCAGGTTTGCTAGCAGTTTTTGAAACAGTTATTTCGTTTTCTTTTAATTTACTGCTGTACTTCAGTTTTCAGTGTAATTTGGATCATGAGAAATGTCTTCTATTTTAACAGTTATAGTCTGAATCATTATCAATTAACCAGAAAAGCCACAAAATGCTGACTCCTTTATTTCCCCCATCATTGTAATTTCCATCTTAGAGGAGGAATTCTGTTAAACACGAGAGGTATTTCTATAA